TTTGGCTCATTCTTTTGAGAAATGAAAATGCCTCATTGCTTCTGTTGCTTCAGAAGGAGAGAGTGTGTCCCAGTCACTAACCATCTTCTTGGTCCCCACCTGCCTCCATCTGTCACCAGGCAATTCATGGGGCTGACTCTTTGGGAAAAGCAGGTGCTCAGTACATGGCACCTTAGTAATCTTCTGGTATTCTCTATGAAAAATTATTAGGATGTACTTATTGCCTGAAGCTTCCTTCCAAGTCCCAGAGCTGCCTGGCTCAGCTCTCAGGGGATTCAGCAAGTTCAATTCTGAAAATCTCTTGGATTTGCACCCAGATCCCAGCAGGCCTTTTATTTTCCTACATCGACCAGGAAGATTATAAAGTTCTGGTCTTTATTGACACAGCAAGAAATGCTTTTCACAAACAGAGGGCTAGATGAGAGGAGACAGAAGCTCTGGAGCTATGGTGAGTGCTGGAACTAGAGTGTCAAGGCTGGGCCTGTGGTGGGGACACTGAACACTAAGGCCATGCACCGCCAGCCTACATCAGCGTTTCTACCTCTGGGCAGCACTGAATACCTCTCCACACATTCCCCATTCATCCCTAGAACATAATAAAAGCTTCAAACAGCTAGAAAGCAGCTGGAAGTGAGAAGGGCCAGAGCTGTTTCTGGGAAACTGGAAATTGTTTCTGGCAGGCTATTTGTAACTGCTAATTTACAGGTGTCTGGCCTAGGCAGATTTATGCTAAGCTTATTTCTGAGCAGAGCAGTATTAGAGCTAATCTTGGCTGATGCATAATGGGATCATGGGCTTGGGGAAAACTTGGGTTTTCAGACAGTCTTTGCTACTCTAAAGCTGCTGTGCCAGAGCCTATTTCTCTGTAATTTCTCTCTTGGCCCCAGACCTGAGGCTTCTTCAGTCCCAGGACACAGCTGGCAAATCCAGAGGCTTATAGCCTAACATCCTCTTGAGTGCTTGAGACCGAGGCCTGGTTGCCATGGAAATCTTCTTGTGGGAGAAGGGTCTCTAACTTTCTCTCAGCTGGTTTCTTTTCCATGGCTCCAACCAACTAACCCACATTGGCCAGGGCAGGAGAAATTTCTTCTTAAGCCCTTAGTCTAAAATTAAATTGACATATTATGCAGCATAGGGATGGTCAATAAGCACATGGACCTCTTATAATCTTAGAACTTTTCTATGGGGAAGTTAAAGGGTTGATATGTGTAAGAGGTCAGGAAGTAGAGGCAGTAGATGAGATTACATAAATCTGTAATTGTATTTCATCTTTGGGGAAGAAAATTTGCAGCATTAATAATGTTAATAATCATAGCAAGGAGAAACTAGCAACTGGGAAGGAAGGAGACTTCAGGAGATGATGGATATAAAATCCTGTGTTTCTGCTTATCATTACATTTTCATAAATATCTACTATGTGCTAAATAGTTTATAGTCTTTCCCATGTTCATACTATTCTGTGAAGTCAGTATTATTGCTACCCCCCTTTTTTACATGACAAAAACACAAGATTTTGGTGAACTCCTTATCCTTGTAGCATCAGAACAGCAGGGGAGGATGCAGCCTCTCTTGAAGCAGATACTGCGCCACTCCTGGGTCTTGGGTGAAGGTGAGCTGTGGAAGGTAGCTGGGCCTTGCATCCAGAGGATGAGTTACAACCTCTATGGAAAAGTTAGAAAAACAGAGTAATCGAAATGGAAACCTGGCTTTACTGATCTGAGGATTACTCCTTTTAGCTGGTGGCCTCCTTCTGGTCTCAAACCTCTGCTTCTGTTTTGGAGGGACACAAGGTTGGAGAAAGGGGAGAGAAAAACTGATTTTCAAATAATCTTGATGGCAAAGGATCTATTAACCATGAAGGGTCAGAATCATTTTTTCTTATATGAAGCAATTAAGCAAATAACCTTTGTCTTTGGGCCAACTTGGATTTAAATCCCAGGTCTACCACCTAGCTTCTTGACCTTGGAAAAGTTCCTTGGTCTCCATGAACCCTAATATTCTCACCATAAAATGGAAGCATATTCCACAGGGTTAGCAGATTGAGTAAGCCATATATGTAGACAGCATTTGTAAGAGACAAATATGTTTATTTCTGCTTATTACTGTTATTTTGTGAGAAAATAAACCTAGGACCCCGAAGAAGTGTCAGAAAGCAAAGAATATGGCAAAGAGTTAAAAAAAAAAGTACAGAAAGTGGATTTACCTCCAGCACAGTGACATAAGGATCTCTAACAAGGGAGAAAGGGAATTTCCAAGTGGCTAGCTGCTGGAGAAGGCACTTAGTCAGGTGAGATTGTGGCAACTGTTTGTCACTTCACTCTGCTGTCATTTCACAGAAGCTCTGTACAAAATACTGTATGCTATTTGGAATGACAGTCGCTGATCATGGGTGGGCCCCCAGCTGTTATTTGTGTGTGGAGTAAGCTGTGTCCAGAGAAAAAGGCTTTCCATTTGGGCCCTGGCCTATCGGAGAGTACATGTCTTAACTGATGATTTGGGAAAAGTTTCATAAGCTGCCTGCTAGCACATGGCCTTGAGAATCAGTGCTGAGCTGCGATCAAGATCATTCACTTACCAGATGTTTGGCTTGTAGCAAGTTATTCAACCTGAGACTCAGCTCCTTATTGTGAAAAGTAACATTCCTACTCAGAGTCTGGACATGGTCAATAAATGATAGAAGCTATTCTTATCATCAGTGATCATCATCAGATCCTGACTGGTGGAATTGTACATATGTGTATTGGAACAATAAGCACATTTCTTTAGGGTGTTCCTGGTTTATGTGAGTTTTCTTTGCTACCTGACATATTCTAGCACAGTGTTTGACACTTAACAGAAAGTCAGTTTAGCTAGGTAGTTCTTGTAAAACAATCAAATCATATGTTCATTTCCTCAACAAACAGACAAAGTTGAATGATGGAAGACAGATAAATAAGAGTATATCCTACGTGATTCTAATAGGCAAAATTAACCTGTGGTTTTAGAGGTCAGGATGGTGGTTATCACTGAGAGGATGTGGTAATTGGAAGGGGTCACAGGAGGTTCCTGGGGGCTGACAATATTTTATTTCTTGATCTGGGTGTTTGTTACATGGATATGTTCACTTTGAGGAAATTCATCAAGCTTTACACTTACAATATGTAAGCTTTCCTATGTGTATTTATATTTAAACAAAAAAGATATTTTAAGAATTATCAAATATGATAAATTAGGTGGGTAGGAAAAATGTCTTATGAATAATATTTACAATGCTTAGGGGAGCGGTAACTGAATAGGTTAGAAATGTAGGATGGACAAGGTCCTTCCCCTTACGGACCTGGTATAATGATCTCACTTAGACCTGATCCTGCAGCAGCAGGGACTGGTAAGAGTCCTTATACCAAGTTAGGGTAGGAGACATCTTCCTAAAGCAAATCTGATTTCTGTGTTTCCACCCTATGCACATGTTCAGTTAAATGGTCACCCTTGTCTTTTCTTAAGTATACTAATCATGATTCTAACGAAAATTTGGACTATAAATTAGGATACATAAAGTGGGACAAAAATGACAAAAGCAGGACAGCTAGGAGGCTCTTAACAATATCTAGGAAAATAATGATGATTTTGGCTAGGTTAGCTTCACTGGAATCTGAGAGGAGGGGATATTTCAAATACAGTTGATTTGGGGAATATGTTACCAAGTGAAAAAGACACTAGGTTTTTGTGTCTTTTTTTTTCCCCCTGGAGATTTCATGGATAACAGAAGAGCGTGCAAAACCTGACAGGTATTAGAAGGTGAACTTTGGGGAGAAAAAAAGGGAGTTGTAGTTTGTGGTCCTGCAAGACATTCAATTTACAATGCAAATCAAGGTAAAGATACTCAGGAAACAAATGGAGATGTAGTCTTGTTGCTGAGGAGAGAACTTGGAGAGACTGTGCAGCCCAACTCTGATATGTGAAGTTATGGAAATAGATGAGCTTACACACTACATTTGGGCTCCTTGCTTAACATTATTAACCCAGGGCTTCTGGAGCTTATGCTTCTTTGCCTGACTCTTCAGGTGGTTTCCTCGAGACCTGTCTACCTCACCCTTCTGCCCACAACTGAGGAGAACTTCAAAGTACTTGGGGCTGTCACAACATCTTTTATGGTAAGAAGGATGAAAAAGAGATATTTAACACAAAAGTGCTTCCAAATTGAGTCTATGTCCCCAGGACTGTCTCAAGGGCAGAGCAGAAGAAAACGTGCAAGCTTTAAGTAGCCAATGAGGTGGAGGTGGGGTTGGGGAAGAAAGAGTTTAACAAAAATGAATGCATCTGGGTTTACTAGACTTAGCTTTGAAGATCTCTTGTATACTTTTTCTAAGCCAATGCATTTTCACAGGAGAGAAATATGTCACCATCAGACACATTCAAAGAGCATGTTTTGGGCCCCAAAATGTCCAGAAAAGAAATATAGAAAATGTTGGTTGCATAACAGCACCAAAGGGAAAACCAACCAGCCTTCTCAGAGGATTGTTTTGAAAATGCATCATTTGTTTTAATGTGCCCTTTCTGATGTATTTGTTAACATGTATGTCCGACTGTGGATAACCTGCCTCTGAGAAGAAATATAAATGGAGTCTATACTGCTTGGTCCTAATATCATCCTAAATTTTAACAGAAAATTATTCTCCTTTTTTTTTTTTTTAAATTTCATCTGTGAAGACACTCTGAAGATAGGCTTTTGAGTATTGCTTAAGTGAAAAAAGAAAAAAGGATTGTTTAGGCCAATGAGAAGATAGGTACTGAGTTGCTGAAGCAATAAGCAGAGATCAACTCATCAAATTGTTTCAATGCTACTTATTCAAAGAGAATATTAATTTAGCCAGGAAATGGAGGGGAATGGAACACCTAAAAGGAATGAGGTTTCTTTCATGGCCTAAGAAAGGGCTATAGGGAAGCTCTTCCTTTGCATCCCACACTTAGGGGCTTTACAAGTGGTGATCTAATGAGTGAATGCCTCTTATTCGTAGGGTGGACAACCCGTTCCTGGAAACACTATGTTCTCCTGCAACACTAGCACTTCAGGTCATTCTACTTTCCTCCTCACTGGCTTTCCAGGCCTGGAAGCTTCTCATCATTGGGTTTCCATCCCTATCAACCTCATCTGTGTATTTTCCATTCTGGGTAACAGTATCATCCTCTTCTTAATACGCACGGACCCAGCCTTACATGAACCCATGTACATCTTCCTGTCCATGTTGGCAGCCTCTGATCTGGGCCTCTGTGCCTCCACCTTCCCAACTATGGTGCGGCTCTTCTGGCTGGGTGCTCGTGAGCTGCCCTTTGATCTCTGTGCAGCACAGATGTTCTTCATCCATGCCTTTACCTATGTGGAGTCTGGTGTGCTGCTGGCCATGGCCTTCGACCGCTTTGTTGCCATCCGGGACCCTCTGCACTATGCCACAATTCTTACCCACTCAGCCATGGCTAAAGCAGGAGCTGCCATCCTGTTGAGGGCTGTCCTGCTCAACCTCCCAGGACCCATCCTTCTGCGGCGTCTTCTCTTTCCTCAGATCAGTGTACTCTCTCACTGTTACTGCTTGCACTGTGATCTTGTGGGACTTGCCTGCTCAGACACCCAGATTAACAGCTTGTTTGGCCTGGTCTCCATCCTCCTCTCATTGGGTCTTGACTCCTCCCTCATCGTGCTCTCCTACGCCCTGATCCTACGGACTGTGATGGGCATCGCATCATCTGGGGAACGGCTTAAGGCACTCAACACATGTGTCTCACACCTCTGCATTGTTCTTATCTTTTATTTGCCCAAACTGGGGCTGTCTGTGTTGCACCGAGTAGAGAAGCACAGCTACCCTGCCCTGGCAGTGCTCATGGCCAACCTGCACTTCTTGGTCCCGCCCTTCATGAACCCCATCGTGTATTGCATCAAGTCTAAGCAGATCCGTCAGGGCCTCCTAAAGCGCTTCCAGGAGAAAAGGGTTGATGTTTCCTAGAACAGCCGAAGAACCCAAGGGCACATGACCCTGTGGGTCAACCTGGGTCATGGGGTGGAGGAGGCTTAGTTATAAACAGTTAATTTGGAGGAGGGGGTTAAATGATTTTTTTAAAAAAATGATTGTTTTTTAAACAATTTGGCTCTAATTGTTGTGACCTTTGTGTGAGTGGTACTATCAGATCCCATAATTATGTTTTTGGGAATTGAGACCACTAGAAAGTATATCAAAGTATCTCCTCGATAATCTTCTTATTACTCTATCTGATTAGAGCCGAACTGTTTCAGACTCATATATATTGTAATGTCTCCTTGCAGAGGGGACTTAACCACACCAGCTGAGAGGATGTGTGTATATATCTTTTTGTGCATGTACCGCTCTCCTCCCTCTGCCCCCTGAATTTTTCCCCCCATTTCATTTTTAAGCCTAAGGAAGAACTATATTCTTATTATTCATAATTAAGTATATTATGTATAAATAGGCTATATTCACCTTAACACTGGCTCTCTTTTTCCAAATTTAATACAAACCAGCTTGTATACCAAGAAGTAGAAAAGGGGAGTGGGTGGTTGGAAACTCACAGAGCAACCCAGTATGTGCAGAATTTATCTAGCATTTATTTGCAGTTCAGGGAGTGGCAGTTTTCTCCTGGTTCTCTTCATGTGTGCCTTTATTTCTTCTTTTTTACTTTGTCTCAATTACAGTTTACATTCAATATTATTTTGTATTAGTTTCAGATATACAGCATAATGGTTAGATAATCATATACTTACAAAGTGTTCCCCCTGATATTTCCAGTACCCACCTGGCATCATACAGTTATAATATTATTGACTATATTTCTTGTGCTATACTTTATGTCCTCTATTACTTTGTAACTGCTAATCTACACTTCTCAACCCCTTTACTTTTTTTTTCACCTGGTTCCCCAACCTGCCTCCCTGTGTCTCTATTTTTAGCTAGAGAGAAAGTATGACACTGCCAAGCCTAGGAAAGCTGTTCGGTATAACTTCTGGACAAAGGTGGTTTCTCAAGCATCAGCGGCAAGGGTGCAATAGCCATTGACTTCCAACACAGGTTATCTGCCAAGATGTAAACTCCATGAACCCCAGGATTCAGGGACTATTTTGTTCACTGATGTATCCCCCAGCTCCAAGAATGGCACCTACCATATACTATTTGCTCAACATATATTGTTAAATAAATGAGTAGAGAAGATGAAGGGGAAAAAAATTCTTGACAGCTGATGCCCAGGGAGGGAGAGGCCTGGGAGATCTGAGTGTTTGAGGTCTGTGGGGATAATGAGCAGTTGGTAAACTTCAATGGAATGAGGTGTGGTTGTATTTCAGTAATTTTGGGGATAAGATGTGATTTATATCGTCAAGAAGTCTGTGTTTAAGGGTGCAGCTCAGAGAGGAGCTAAGTTTCTTATGAATGGTTTTCCGAAACTGCTTCCAAATTTCTAGGGAAAATTTTACCCAGAAACTGAAGGGTGTCTCACTTCATCATTACCATATGCCCTTGGCCTACTCAGTCCTAAAAAAACATAACATTTCTTGAAGAATTGGAATCGGGATATTCCTGGTAATATTCCTAATAGGTTGCTTTCCCTATTAGATGTAATTACATTAGCCACTGTAGCATGGATTCCAAGAACTCAGAACCCTGTGTCTGTTAGTAACTACAAAGAGGCCATTGCCAATGTTGTGTGTCTGAAGGTCACAGATCCTGCCCATAAAGCCCAAGAAATAAGGACAACAGATGATGAGTACAGAGTTACCATTTTAGAATATGAAGTCTAATAGCAGCCAACCAAAGGTTTCAGTAAATTCTGTTTGACCAGCCACTTCAAAGAGGAAGTTATTAGAAAAGACAGCATGCACTCTGAGATGTTTCCTCTTCAGGGCCGTAAATATTGGACTGAAACAAATGACTGCCTTATCCAGGTCCCTCCATCCACTTCACACTTCACCCTAGTAACAAAAACGATCTGATCAGGGTGCCAGCATGTATATCTCGCTAAGGGTCCCTCCAACCTCTATCAGAAACCCTTGGCCGACGTGATGATATTCAGGACCACAAGCACCCTTGTACAGTTAAAACAAACAAACAAACAAAATATAGGCCCTGAGGCTGGAAATTCTTCTTCAGAGGGTTAGCAGAATTAAGGTTGGATATTAGATACCCAGGATATGTTTGTGGGGGTCCTTTGGCTTTATTGTTTTTGCCCTTTCTCCAGAGCAGCTCTGAACTGGGAGACTTCTCCCATCTATAACCCTCATCACCTTATTGTTAGTCATTTTATGGCTGCACTGATGGCAAGAGGTCAAGGGGAAGGGATCTGTGGTCTATGTTTCTACAACTTTACCTTCAGGGTGTGGGCACCTCAGCACATCCCATAATACTTTGCTTCACAGACTCAATAACTAATACCTGAGCCTGACTGAAGGAAGAGTTCTGAGATGGTCTCTTAAAAGCTTTGCTACCAGTTCAGCCAGTTAAAAGATGATCAGGGTATGCTGTACAGTGGCTTTTAGATTTTGTCATTCGTTAAAAAAGAAGTCATGTACATGAATCTAAAGCTCCTTCTCTTAATCTTTAGGTTAATCAGACTGTCACCCACCCATGCAGAAAACCTGAGTTAGGCAAAATCTCACCTCTGGCCTATACCAGCTGTGTGGCCTTAAGTTAGTTATCTCATCTTCTCTGAACTTCCATTTCCTCATCTTTATAAAGTCGGAATAATACCTACCTCACCGATATGTAAATATTCAGCTACATAATGTACATAGAGCACTGAATCCAGCAGCAGAGAACAAGTTTCAGGTGTGTTTGGAGAGTTACTAGATCAATCCTGTCTTCTGTATTCACTACAGGCACCATGAAGGCATTGTTTTTCTTGACTTATTTAACCTTAGCACTTTGCACATGGCCTAAAATATTGTAAGCCCTTTATGTATAAAATAAATGAATGAATAAAGGAAAGATTAAATTCTTGGCAAATGGTAACCGCAGCTAATTGAGTAATTTTTATTGAGCTCAATAGATTAGAGCATTTATTATTATCATTATGTATCAGGTAGCTTTTATTTTTGGAGGGAAATGGCAAATTCTGGTTGGTTTGTTGCAGATGCAGAATTTTTGTGCAAGATCATACTGCTCAATAACCCCTGGGCTTATTAATTAATAATTAAACCTCTGTACGTCTCTAGGTTCTAAAGGGGTGACCTAAATCTGGTATGAAAGATGTACGAGTATAATACCAGTCTGAGTCTCGTTTTCGATTAACTGGAGCAAATGCTCTAAATCTGTGGTACCTTAGAGCTGGATGGGGACAGTGAGTGGTTGACTAATCTCGTAGAGTTTTATATCAAGTAAAAAGTTTGTGCACATTCTTATGCTAGTCTTGACTGCTAGCTTTCAAAAAATTGGGTGGGGGATAGTCTTATAGAAGGAGGAGGAGGAGGAGAAGGAAGAGGGAGGAAAGGCTTATAGAAACCAGAATGCATGTCGCCATTTCTTCAAAGCCAAGTCCCCAAGCAGATTAATCTACATTGTGCTTGGATTTGCCATAGAAAAATAATTTCCCAACAACTCTTTGTAAAGAGCTGTTTTTGCCTTTTACAGAGGAGAAGAAGGAAATCTACAGAAATTGGCTTAATGTGCAGTTGTTATGAATTTACACAGAGTAATGTAAAATTATGATTAATGCAAAAATATCTATGTTTTAAATTTTTGTAGATTAGAACAACATAAAGAAAATGGCCATTTAAGGAATGTCCTTCTGAATTTCTTTCATCTCCTCCCATGGACAGTGTAAGAGGATAATTTGAAGGAGATGGGAGAGAAATGGAGGTCAACTGCATGTCTGAAAGAGGAAAGAGCATAAAAGGCAGAGAGGACACACAAAGAGCATTGACAGCCTGCTTGGACCTCATTACCATGTGGTCGGCCTTGTTGGGGAGTTGTCTTGCTATCTCAAGAAATTATGGTACTAAGAAATGCATCTAGTTTCTGTTATTTTGTTTTATTTTTAGGGCTGTGCCAAGAAAAAGGTAACGATTTTCAAGCATCTGAAATATAGTGTAGTTTTCAAACTGCAGTTCTGATTTCAAGTGCTCCTCAAACCTTGATGTATAAAGACTTAAAAGGCTTTTGAATGAATAAATAAATAATGTTTCTGTTATGACTAGAGCACTGAGAGTTGAGATTTTCTTGTGATCAAGTATTCAAATTGTGGTTATAACCACATTCTGAGGTTGCTCGAGTCTACATGAGGGAAAACTCCACATTTAGTGACAGATATCATGATTTTGTCTTTTATGAAAATATCTCACCAAGGGTAGACTAAGTTTCTGTATTTCTAAAACTGCCAACTCTGTCAGGTAGGATCTGTAAAGATGTGAATATTAATATTCATGTATTTATTCTGATGTCAATACTTAGCACTTGATGAGTGAGCTGTTCCCATGCATGAGACAATGAAAGGAATTCCTGCAGCATTAATAGCTCTCACCTCTCAGGTATTCATTATTATTTTTCTTCCTTCCTCAGGATACTTTTTAACATTGATCGCTTATTTAAATAAAATCCATGAGGAATGATTGACACACAAAAAGCTGTACATACCCAATGTATAAAACTTAATGGCTTTGGAGATAAGAGAGCTACTGTATTGCATAGTGCCTGTCATTAACAATATTGTATTGTATAATAAAAATTTTGCTAAGATGCAGATCTTATATTGTGTTCTGTCTCTCACACATAATAATAATAATAGGCAGGAGGAAACTTTTGGAGGTGATGACTATGGTTTCACAGGTCCCTTTTTTGTTGGTATTGTCTACTTGACATTTTTTAGAAGATGTGAAACCAATCAGTCTGCTCAGACACTTATATCACAGGAAGCTAAGTAGATTTACAGCAATGCCTACATGAGCCTTTTGTTTCTAGATAGAGGGCACGGCTTTGGTCATCTTTTCCCCACTGTAGTGTAACAC